GATTGGGGATCAGGTCCCAAGGGCCTGAGAGCCGTCTTGAGACTCCTCAGCTCACTTATTGCGACTTGCAAGGCCAACCACTTCCGACAGGATTTCCGTTTTCAGACCCGGGCCCTTTGCCGCTGGAAAGCCTGTTCGAGGCCTGTCTGCCCCGCTTCAGATTGCAGAGGTTGGCATGAATCGTGGCTTTGTCAGGCCCGATAACCTGTCTCTGTCTGCCAGCATTCAGGGTTCGTGCCGTGTCCCAAACAGACGCTTACTACAACGAAATCGACAAGCAGAGCCGGTGCTACCTTATGAGCTGAATGCAAGCCACGGAATATCCAAGAGTCCAGCAACCCGAGCAAGGCGCGTCATAAAAATGGACAGTTCCACCAACTTCTGCTAGCACGAATTGATTCTTGCAGACTCCATGAGCGCATACTGCAGGATGTATGTCAGTATGTCACTTATGTTAACTTATTTTTGTTTGCACAATGCTGTTCAAGCCATACAAGCACCAAACTGGCGCAGCGGGAAGCTGTTCCATTATTGCCTCCTGATCAGCTGCCCACTGGCCGTAGTAGAGCTACCAAGAGCCGAATCTTCTGGATCAAATGCTTTCCGCAGCACTGGGCAGATGAGCTATACTAGCCGCTTCCATAAACTGTTCGTTTGCCGTGGGCGTAGGGCTAGGCTGTGAACCTGCTTGAACCCCAGAACGAGAGTCCACCTTCCACTCTCTGACCATGTTCCCATCCCTCAAAGTGTTGGAGGATGGGCTCGGTCCGGGATTCCTCTCGGGTCGTCCCTGTGGTCCTGGCGACTGCCACATTGGATTCAGCACCTTGGTTTTCTTTGACTTCTACATGGTTTGTAGCCTAATATGGCCGGCACCTGGGTAAACTCAGTTTTACATTCCAGCCAGTTCATGCACGTCTGACAGCAGTCTCTCCCTCAAGTACCCCGAACAAGATGAGATGCTCTGTAGCTTCCACATAAAAAATTATAGAATGCGGTCTGCAGCTGAGATTCCAGCACGAAGGGCTCAAAGCATGTAACTCGCCGCGACGGGATTTCTTTTGTTTAATGTAGACTTTTCTGAAGGCTTCGGAAGCGGCCTGTCTGGAGCGAACGACGTGAACGTTGCCGTGAAGGCCTGCAGAGCCAGTGCACATCAGGGACCAACAGCTTTGCAGAGTCCGGTCGGAGTTCGACATCAGCATGCTCGAGACAAGTTACCAAACCACCCCGGACCCACGTGCGGCCACACCCACGCCGATCCACCCACCTTGCAGTGCATCCGCACTCGCCTGCACTGCATGGGGCATCCGGAAAAGTTATTCCTACCTATCATCTCTAGTCGCGGTGGTGTAAGCCTAGGTCATCTGGTCTTGGTACAGGCACAATGCCAAAAACTGGCAATCGTGAACCACATCGACATGAGAAATGCTGGCGACGACTCTCTGCCGTTCAGAGTTAACCGAGAAGCGCAAAAGCGCACTGTTGAGGGCGGAGCTCCCATCACGAACCAGGTTTCGCACACGCAGTGAGCACCAGAAACTTCATGAGCAGAAGTGGCCTTGGCATGCCTTGGCGTACACGACACAACATCGGGCCCGGCCGCACCGTGCGGCAATCAAGGTGATACGATTGCGTTGTCGGGCCGGGCTCAGTTCGCTCGGGATCGAGTTACAGCGGCTTCGACCCTTGTGGGCACGAGCCTGATTGGCACTACCCTGTGAACGACCGGAATGCAAACAGTCCCAGACTTTGGCAGTCCAGTTCCATCTTCGCCATAGCTGCTCGGATGTTCGACTTGAGGTGGGATGCGTGGAAGTGACGCAGTCTGACGCCAGCGGGGAGTTTGCAGAAAGCCTGGTGACTGAGCGAAAGATTGGGGCAGTAGAGCTTTCGGAGTTGAAGGAGGTCAGAGCGTTGACAGAACCAAAGATTTGTGGGACATGCGGATTAAGCAAGGGCGCTTGAAAATCAATCTGTTGCGTTCCCTTTCAGTTCCTCGCTTGGTCGGGGCCAGCCTTATGCATGTATACCTCTCTGCAGGTATGCATCTATGCGCAATCATGCACACATCTGTCATTAGATATGTAAGCAAGCTTGTTCGTTTGCGTGAGTACGCATATGAGTCATGTGGGTGTTTCCGCGCGGTTTCTTGATGGAGTGAGGGCCAGCACCAATGCAGGAGCTGCAGTACTACGACGGCTCACAATACATATCTTATCGCCAGGCCAGCTGTAGATCATATGTAGCAGTGCAAGATGCTCACAAACTGTGCATTCCGTACTGCCCTCGGCATTCCAGCGTCCCGAGAATAGCACCAGCAGTTCCAAGTTGCCCAAGTATTCGGAGCAGATCTAGCCTCATGAGTTTCCTAGCGTGTGTCTCGTTTCTGTGGTCATTCGAGGTCCAGCGTTGTCAGCTCAAGCATTTTTCAGCGATCCCCCACACCTGCACAGGCTTTCAACCTCGCTGGCGGCATCTCCTTCGTACCGACCTTCAATGGCACCGTCGGACTCCACGTGGACCCAAGATGAGGCAACTGCAGCCTTTTCTCTGCCACTACTGCGTGGCCTTCCTCGCGGAATCTCGCAGGAGCAGGTCGTGAAGCGTAGCTCCGGCAGGACGAGGACAACAGGAAGAGTTGCCGGCGTCGGCCGACGTCAAGCTTATGCTTATCCCCCTCGCGGAGCACGAAGGCCTCGGCTGTGGCGACACCAATCTGGAGACAAGGTGTTGCTTGGAACTTGGCATTTCTGAGCTTTGCCGACTTAGCACCATCGAGGATGCCTTCGTGGACCACTCAGCAGCGAACTGACTTATGCGCCTCGAGGATTGTTGACAACAAGTGACCCGCATCCGAGTTGGCGAGGAAACTCTTTGGTGGAGAGACCATCCTACGTGTTTTCCGGACGCAGACATGCGTCGCTCAATTCACTGTACCTGTGTGCTGCTCTTTATGCTTTTTAAGCTGATCTTCTTCCTCTCTTCTTTTCGGCAGAGGCAGAGGACGGTAAACAGCTGTCCACGGGACAAAGCATCAACTCGCTTGCAATGCAGATCAGCTTGCTTGACTTGGCTGTTGCCTATAATCTCGAAAGCTCGCTCGGTAGTGTCTTTCCAGCCCTCCGCTGAGTAAGATACTGTATCGCATGTTCCCCGCTACAGGCTTCTCACCCGATGCGCAGGTTGTCACCACAGGCATCGTCGGCCCCAATGCCAGCGACCTAGCCGTCGCAACAGATCGACATGCACCCAGAGAAATCTCTTCCTCGTTCTATTGAAAAACAGCGAATATTGCAGAATATCCAGCAGTGGTACATTCCCGCTGCTGGGTCCGCCGTTAAATCCAATTGGGGAGCAACAGGGGGTGGTGCAAACCGCAAAACTTGTAATCGTGCTAGGGAGAAGGTTTCGGATCTTGTGTCCAGGGCCTGCACCAGGGAATATAGAATGTTATTAACATTCTAATTAATAATTAGAATCATTAGATGTTCGCGGGCCTGTAATGGATTAGTTTTGCAACTGCTCGACCGTCATCATGCGACAAGCATTGTGGCAATTCCTGAAAGTACCCTCTGATCCGCTGTGTTTGCATTTGCTCGGCATGCCCCGGTATCCCGCAGTCTGATCTGGTGAGCTGTAGACTTAGACTGGACCGTTCGGATGCAGGTCTGTCCGGACTGGCGCTGGAGCCTGTGTGCGGTTGGTGTAGCGCTGGGGCCAGTAGGGTTTCTGGCAGACCCGTACTCGCGATCCCCGGGCGCACAGCATTCCTTTAGAGGTGCCGTCGGGACCCGAGCACGTACACCGCAGAGGCCATCGAGGCGGATCAGCTCCCGACGTGGCCCGCGTGGCAGGCGTGTGCCTGGGCCCAGGTGGCCGAAAAAGGACGTTGGCGAAGGCGCAGCTCCGAACGCTGCTGCAGAAGCACGGAGATGTGCTCCAGCAGCCCCTGCCTTTGTGCCAGGGCTCGTGCGCCCGGAGGTAATTTATGTTGAGAAGCTTATGGCATCAGAGGATGTGTTTCTAGTAGACCGTGACTCGAACCTTGAGGAGGTCGCAGGTTGGATTCGAAACGGAGGTCATGCGCTAGTGGTCGATCACTGGCGTGATTTGGAAAGATGTCGGGCTGCTGTCCTCAAACCACTCAAGAAAGCCGCTGCAAGCGCGGAGGAAGCGGAAAGACAGCGCACTCTGAAGAAACGGCTATCGGATCGACTGCTGGGTCAGGTGGCTCAGGGGCGCATCGCTCTGCAAGGTGCTCCACGCGCTGACTTCTTGCTGACATTGCAGCCAGAGCAATTTGTGCGCTTGTGTAAAGCACGTTAACTTCAGGGCTTCATGTTAGGGTTCTGTTCTGCCATGTACGGTCTTAGGACTGAGACACTATTGAGATACATGATGCATGAACAGTGGCGGGGCCGAGGTACGGTGATCTCTTTTCAAAAGGGCACCAGTTTGCGCTGCCGTCGGGCGTGCTGATGGGGCTGGCCAATGCCTGGCAGTACTTCGAAGGAGGTGTGCGATTCCCCTTTCTTGCACCGCCGGTGCTTTCTGGACCAGTGCGGCCCTTCTATGGCGTTTACGCCTACCCCCATCCTGTGACACACTTCGACATGCTGATCGATTGGCTACGGAACTCCAGCAACAGCCGCACATCACAAAGTGCGCTAGATGTCGGTACAGGCTGCGGCGTGGTGGCTTTGATGCTCCGACGAATCGCTGGCATTCCAGATGTCGTTGCCACCGACGTGAGTCCCAATGCCGTGTACGGCGCAAAGGAAGAGCTGAAGCGCCAGGGCTTTGACGACATCCAGGTTCTCTGTTCGGATCTTTTCACAGGCTTGGATCCGGATCGCAAGTTTGACCTGGTTGTCTTCAACCCACCTTGGCTGCCGCTGCCTGCATCCACTGCCAACGAGCCTCCCAGGACTGTTCTGGACCTGGGCAATTTTTATTCCCCAGACCTTTTCCAGCGCTTCTTCGACGGCTTACCCAAAGTGCTTACCCCCGACGGTCGGGCCGTACTTCTTTTCTCCAACCACGCGACCATCCGGGGCTATGTGGACCAGCACCCCTTCAAGGCAGCGATGGACTCTTGCGACCTCCGAGTTGAGAAGATTCTCTCGCGAGACTTCGACGTCGAAGGGAGGCGGAGACGAACAGGACGGCCGCAGGTGAAGCCCAGCCTGGAACCGGCTGCAGAGCTTTGGGAGTTGCGGCTAAAAAGGAAAGTAAGTACGATTGTAGTGACATCCTCGAGCAAACTTGTGAAAGGTCCTCCCACTGCTTCTAGCGCCAAGTGTTCCATGCACCTATCTAAGATCTGTTTTGGTTGCAACGGGGCGCAGCAGCATGCAGCAGCTTTGCACTGCACTGGCAGCTAATAGCACACGAAAACAGAGCACATCCGGCCGACTGAATCCATATTTTGGCCCCATCGCCCAGGCCTTCGTCGTTTCGGAGCCGCTACAAGTGCCCGTTCTGCCGGGCCATGTACCACTGTTCTCAGCCAAGGAGCCTTTGCCTTTGTCTCCGATTTCTTTGTGTTCGTGGGGTTTTCTTGAGGACCACCAGAAGCAGATGGCCACCGCAGTGCTCAGCATCGGCCGCCTCTTCTCCGCAGAAGCGCAGGCCCGGCCCGGGCGACACTCAGTGCTCGGTACTCCGATATCGCTAGGGCACCCCTCCCCGTTCTCTGGAACCAATCGTCAGGCTCTGATGGCCCGCAGCCTCGTTCAGCGGATTGTTTCACACCTGCGTCAGCCTCCAGGCATGGCGGGAGAGCTACAGAGTCACATTGCGTGAACATCTAATTCCGTCTGGTCTACAATCCGCGAGACTGAACCTGTCCGTATCATGGATCGCTTTCGGATTGTCAGCTTATGACGTGTTTGTGAACGCATGTTCCCAAATGTTTCGCCAAGGTGCGGATGTCGACGCGCGGCAAGCCTGGGATGCCCTGGATGCCCTGAAGCAGCTTGGACCATGCTTGGAATGGCAGAAATCACGCAGCGGCAAGCCGTCCCTGAGCCCCACGAGCAACGGTCCGAACTACTTTTGGCGAGGCCCTCAAGGGGCTGGTCTGCGGCAGCCGGCGTTCCTCAGGCTTCCGGTCTTATTTCTGATTGCAAGATGTGCTCTTCTTCATAAGTGCAGGATACTATCGAGTTAAATCTAGTGCAGTGTCACTACTTCAAAAACAGTGACTGCTGCGCCTGTGGCTGCTCCTCCTGCTACGACTATACCATGATATCCACTGCGGCTTTCTGCTACCTATGCACTACATGCTGCTGCTGCTGCTACTACTACTACTACTCCTGCTACTACTACTGCTACTACTATGATTACTACTGCTGATACTACTACTACTACTACTACTACTACTACTACTACTACTACTACTACTACTACTACTACTACTACTACTACTACTACTACTACTACTACTACTACTACTACTGCTACTACTACTACTACTACTACTACTACTACTACTACTACTACTACTACTATTATCATTATTATTACTACTACTACTACTACTACTACTCCTGCTACTACACCTACTACGACGACGACTACGAATACGACTACGACTACCACTGCTATACGACCACCACCACACTACCACAGTACCACACCACCACACCACCACTGCTGCTACCTGTACCGACACGTCCATGCAACTCGCATGAATCGGGATGGGGTCAGATGGAAAAGCCAACAGCAGTTCAAGCTAAAAGCCACAGTAGCTTTAGCTTTATGCCCAAATCAGCCGAGCCGATGTAGCCTTCGTGCAAGGTCTCATGTCAAAAATTAAGCCACTTGCTTGCCTGATCGACAGAGGTTCGCATGCTCGAACAGTTCAGAACAGATTTGAATAGCAAGGGATGTCGCCTTGGAGCTGTCCGAGGCCTTCGCCTCGGTGGACAGTCAGGGACGGACCCTCGCCAGTGAAAAGCATCTGACGAAACGAATTCATGGGAGTGGCTCAGTGACTCTCAATGCCTTTCAGGGTGCCACGACAAGTGTGTGTCGTGTCTTCTGATTTCTCCAGTCGCCACTCGCCAGTACCACTTAGAGCACAGCAATCGCATCTGTTTGCCTGGGGTGAAATCGGTGTTTTCGCAATGCTGCGTTTGTTCTCTACGACCACCCCAAACACCGCGACCCAGGGAACTCGCCCCAGGATACTTTGAGAGGTACGGGATGCAGCTAATTCATGCTATGAATTCGATCCCGAATGACAGACCCTGACAGATTGCTGAGTTCGGGCTGGCCAAGAGCTATGATGTTTCCGAACAGAATTGCTAGCTGGTTGGCTTGACACTCCCCTATCAATCCATTCATCTCTTGCCCGTCATCCAGCACACGACACGTCGCTTTGTCAGCAAGTCATGCTCTGGCCGGAAAAGAAACACCGTCGTAGAGTGAGCACGGAACAACTACTTACTCCACTTCGAACTGAGGACAGCGCTACGCCTCGCCGTGGAGGGTGGCCATTTGAATTGCGTGCAGCCCCTCATTGAGGCTTTCTGAGGGGCCAGGGCATGGTGGCACTCGTCGAGTCGCAATTTGTTTGAGAGTCTCCGACATATCGTAAGTCGAATCGCCACGATGTTGAAAATCTGCCTGTGGCTGGAGAAAGAAGCCGCCAAAACGCACTGATAGCTCCAGACGAAGGAAGCCCTGGTGAAGCCCTTTGCTGTGCCAGCATGCGAGTCCCCCGGCGTGCCTCAATCAGATTCGGCCCGACACCGTAGGGCGACCCCGAGAGCCCTATTTGGACGATTCCGAGTCCAACCCAAACATCTTGCAAATCCCTGATCTAAGCGTTGCTGCTGTGACTGCCGTAATCCGGGTCAGTTGCCCTTTTGCACCACACCTGTGCTGCTCGGTCGTGGTGTGCACATTTTGCATTCTAAGCTACGCTGCTTTTTGCACCACATTGAGCCACAGGGGAAAGGTCCGTGCATGCAGAACCGCAGGTGCTTCAAGTAAGCTGAACCCTAGCAGTTCATGTTTCTGGCAGTTCCGTCCTGCAGGCATGCTGCAGTCTTCGTTCTGTGACCGAGGACTGTGCAGATTTGCGCAAACCGAGTTTGCGAGCTTCTCCTTAAGAGCCCATGTCGCACATGGGACATTATGGGACACACGGTGGTTTCAGGGCCACACGATGATTTTGCGCACAATCGAATTACATAATCGGCGGCCTTGAAGAGATGGAAAGATCGCAGATTGCAGAGCACCAAGAAGCTGAAGTTCTCGAACCCCTGCGAGTGCTGCTAGATGAGCAGCAGACGGGCGAGGCTTCTACGCTGTTGCTTCCGCAAGCGATTTCTCGCAGCCCTGATCCAAAAGTCGACCGAACTTTGGTCGACTCGCCAAGAGGCGAGCTCTGACCGCTGTCCACCGCAAACTCGGGAGCTCTTCAGTGTCTTCACACCGATCTGGTAGGGTCACGCCAAGGCAATGAAAAAAACATCTTCTTTTGCTACCGCATTCTGACCGGCAGCGATTATCGATAAAGTTTGCCTGGTAAGAGTGCACTCCCGATGTCGAAGTAAATAGACACGTCGAGGAAATACAACGAATCAATGAATGACGATTGTAAAGCGAAGTGAGTTGATGCACAGGCTTTCTGGATTTCAACCCAGCCTAACTTTACATCCTGGTTGCAACCTCAGCAAGTGGCTTCCTGTATCTCTCGATATCTTGTTGTGAACCGACGCACATCGGTTTTCTCAGTCGAAGTCCCAAAACAGTATGGCAGAACAATGCTTTGTTGCGAACGCAAGCCAGGAAGCACCAGTTTTTGTCAATGTTCCTTGCAATGTTTGACTGCTTGGGTCTTTTCTGGAGGGCCAACAGGTGTAACGTTCGTCTTGATTGAGAAGCAAGTGCCAGGCCTCGAACTATGCACACACATAAGTTCGCAAAATCACTCGACCGGAACACTGGAGTCCAGCGGGCTCGATTCTCATCACTGGCAGCATTTGCACCGCTACAGCATCGCTTGGGACGATCATCCTTCCTAACCTCCGGATGGTCTTGAACACGTTGTCAGGACCTGCGGTCGCCCCTCACCGCGGCAATCGAGCAATGCCGCGGCCAGGCGATTCGCCCAGAGACGGCAAACTGTTCAGTGACGTCGGGGATTTCCTGCTTTGAAGAGTCTCACAGATCGCTGAAGTTTGCAGGAGCTTCTGCGCCTGGACAGCAACATGTTGGGCCTCAACAAAGACCAGCTGCGCCTTGCAGGCCTCGGCACGGAAGTGGAGCTGGAATGTTTAAGCCACCGTTTACACTTTTCGGGAATTCAAACGATTCCGAACATCGGGTTCACGAAGCCTGGGCATGAAGACATCGCATATCGCATACAACTCAAAGGTGGCTCTCTGAAGAACAAAGAAGGATCCTCAGGACTATGCCCGGATTTCAACGAAAAGGCACCACGTGGACACCGGAAGCCAGAGGGTGCGATTAGCTCTCCAGCAGAAGCGACAAGGATCAGGCCAGTCACCGTAAAAGGCTCTCAGTCCAAAAAACAACGCACTATCCGCGGAACTTCACAGGGTCACATACCTAATTTTCAAGCTTGCGGAGGTCTGCAAGCCTGAGCGTCGGAAACAACTTTCAGAAGAACAGTCCGCGCAAAGTTCCACACCTGCTGAAGGAGCGATGGTTCCTTTATAGATGTTTGTTTTCGACCTTGCGGAGCCTTCACTGCCGCAGACTGCAAGTCCGCCGGAACAGAGATGCACAGATAAAGCGATACAGTCATGATGACGGATGGCGCAGTCTTGCAGCTTCCACCGATCCTTCTTGAGAAAGGACAGCTTTGCAAGATCGTGAGTTCCAAATCGGTTGGACAGCTTGATGCCGGGGCCTCAGGGAAGGGAGATCCTTTGGCTTCGGATTCACATCCCGGAGAAACCAGCTCTGACACTGTCGCCTCTTCGTGTAGCATCACGTCATGCCAGCATAATCCAGAATGGGAGGCCCACGTCCCCAACAACTGTGCAAGAAAGGTGCGAGTAAGCATGGAGCTGATCCTCAGCTGCTGGTCAGCCTGTCACGCCAAGGACATGGCATCGCAGCTTTCCAGTCACTTCGGGGTACGAGGCACAGAGCGCTGCAACGCTTGATGCAGTGTGTGTAGGATGAACTCGATGTAATTCTGCAAGCCCCTTTCAACGGGGCGAAGTGCACTGCAGCTTCTTGATCATTGCGAAAGTTTTGTGGCTGCAGAAACGGGTGTGCGGGCGGCTGGCATGTTGTGGCATTTTCAGTGTGTCTTTCTCGCCTTTGGCATTGCCGGATAGTGCCGGTGAAGTTCTTCCATGCTGATGCATCTTGTGGCTGTTTGGTCGGAATGTCGTTTTCACAGTTCCGCCACTTCCAGCACGTGCATGCCAGCTTTGTCTCGGGCACACTTCCACATCACATTGCCAAGGTTTCGTTCAATCGAATGCAAACCGAGATATACCTAGATGCAAGATTGCTAGTGTGCAGGATTGAGCACACGCGCAGAAGCGCCCGCTTCCGTTGGCGAGCAGTTTCAAGATGTCCTGATAGCACAATTTACACAAGATACGCAGGTCCTTCGCAGTGCTGGGCCTGAAGCTTGAAACATGTATACACTGTATACAGAAGAGTTTAAGCCAAAAAAGGGCCCAAGCAAAGCAAAGCAGGCAGCTCGCCGTCACGCGGCGCGTCAGATCCTCAAAAAGTTGAGAGTGACCATGAACAGACAAAGGGCGGGAGGGGCCAAGTTCGACAGTTCAGATTCGACTCCGAGAGGTTTTGAACTTCGCATTGGGCACCTCTGATATTGTCTAGGCGAAGGTGCCTGTCGACAAGTATATCTTATATCGTAATGGAAGGTCGTGCATACTGTCGCAATCTTGGGCACTCCGGTCGGCTCAACCTTTAAGCACGTGCATGCAACACGAAGCTGTGGACATATTGACAAGGCATGCCCCTGCCTCAAGATCATGGCTCAACAAGAGTTCGTTGTCCACTGCGGCTCCAGACAATTGAAGATAAGTGCTGCATAGTGCTGCTCCGTTCAGGTAGTTCAACGCAGTCGCTAGTCTTCGAACCCCAAGCGCAAAAGCATCGCTATCCTTTGTCAAGGTCTGGTACGAGTTCTCCTCCACCGCTTCCTCCGAAAGAGGCACGTCTCGGGCATCGAGTTTCCATTACATGCGTGATGCTTCAAGGATTTCGGGGCTCATGCCTCGACTTTGGCTCGCGTCCGCACAGTTGAGCCCTAAGGTCCCGCGCCGAGTGTAGCCTGTCCAACTCGTTGCCGACCTATATGCTCACCTTTTGGGAAAACTTTCTTTCCACAGCCAGGTGTCAAGATCGTCATTTTCCAAGCCAGTCCCTAGTGAGTGGTACGCGGCTTAGCAGCTGAAGGCTACAGAACACAAAGATGAAAGTGTAAAATTGCTCGGCCCGTGATGCGAGCAGTCTGGTTGTCTATTTGAGACGCTCAGATCCAGGGCGTGAGGAAGCCTACACGTTGTAAGCCCGCAAGGTGAGGATTTGTGCTGCCGAGCAAACCTGAGGTCACCGGACATCTTGCTGCTGGTGCTTGAGTTGTGCCAGAGCGGGACAGTGCTTACTTGTGGGCTTCGATTCAGATGCCATACTGTATACGTATCATAGATCACTTGGCAGAGCTTGTGTTGACTGATGTTAGTTGAACCCTCGGCTGTCACTCTCAATTGCCAGCCACAGCCCCAAACATGTGATCCTCGCGATTCCGGCCGAGCAATAACTTTTTTTCATGCATCCGTACAGTAACCTGGCTGTCGTGGATACTGTATAAACTAGGACTTTCCTCCACATAGCAAGCATGAGGCTAACAACGATTGCAAGAAGCACAGGATGCTGTCACGACTGCACCTCCTCGTCTGCGGAAGTCTCCAAATGACCAACGAATGCAGGCAACGTTGCACCACCCAAGAGCCAAACAGAGTCTAAACGCGGCTAGGACTAGGACAGGGGGCCCATTTTTAACCGGACGGGGACTGTCGAACGATAGCAGAAGCATTGTGCTTTCCGGAAGCGGGGAGGCCATGCATGCCGGTGGGACCCTGATCGGAACACGATTTACATCCAAAGCGCACACGGCGCCACCGAGAAAGGTATGGTATGCTGGCATGCCAGACTAGTTCCAGAAACTGTTTAGGCAGCATCCCACATTCCTGAAGTACAAACCGACACCCTGCAATCATTCAAAATATGCAAGATGTCCCAGCCAGGATATGGGAGTACACTTTTCGAGCATCTTGTGATATCGGGTGTCAGTCAGTCAGTGTGTGTGTGTGTTTGTTTTTGTGTGTGGGGGGTGCAGTCGTCTTCAGCAGTCGCGAGAGCTCTGTTCTACAGCAGGGGTGAGCAGCACCTTCGGCATACTGCACGCAACGAAGCTATTGCTTTGCTAAAAGTGGCAAGGGATCAAGGATGCTTGATCCTGTAACATTGGTAACTGCAGATCGCTTGTGATATATTCCATGATGCAAGCTGTACATTGTTCAATCATGCGAATCTTCGGAGTGCGCTGTTTCGATCGACAGTCAGTACTTCAATGCAAGGTTCTAGGTGCTACTTGGCGTCGCTTGATATTCAGCAGTAGCAAGGAAACGTGAGCCTATCGAGAGACGTCCGGCAAAGCTTTCTACGTTGATGGTCTCAAATGAGTTCATGTGGGCTCACTCCTGAGTTGATATCACACAAGTGAGAATGCCAAACCAGGATTTTCCTGCAGTTCGTGTGCATGTGTTCGGTCGTTCGCTCGTGCTCCTCGTGTCAAACAAACCGTCAGCCAGGAAGGCTCGGCGCGAACTGCTCCAGCCTGCCACTTGTTCGGGCCTGTGGTGGTTCCCTCAGCTTGCGGGATGCAATATGTGTCCTAAAGGGATAACACTTCAACGAGCATGTGGAGCGTGCAATGCTGCATGTACAAGATGGACAAAGCTAGTTGAGAATGTGAGTCGTGGCCTTCGTCCTGTATCTGTGAGACGTCTGAGCGAGAGCTTCTTGAAAACGCGTGCTGAGTCTAGGCGATGCTTGGGCCTCGAGAAACGGAGGGTTGGTCGAGATTGGTAGAAACTCCGAGTTGCTGCCGAACCTAGTTGAAGCATGCTGAAGCCATCTCACAGAATTCCCTGGTGTCTGATTCTGTTGCCAGGCGGGTGAGCCTGCAGCAGAACCTTCACAACCTGGCCAAGAAGCTCGCGATTTGGACTACTGCCGCTTGATGCTTGCTCGTCACATAGGAATGTAGGATCTCGCTTTCAAACTAGACCCGATTTGCATTAAGAGGGGAAGGCCAGAGTATAGCAGTGCCGTGGGTTCTTGCGTAAAGGTCTTGAGCCGCACTGCGCAGGATCGGACTGTCTGTCAACGCGCGAGGCCTGGGGGCTACCTTCACACAGGTACCAGAAGCCAGACTTTCCAGACTCTTCCTTCGGTGGACGATACTTTTATACCCAGGTTTAATCTGTGGCTACTGAAGCTCTCGCACGGTTGACTCGTAGGAAGAACTTCTGAACGGGAATGCGCGGGAGAGTGGCACATCAGCCTTCAGACCGAGAGAGTCCGTGACTGCGACATGCTCCGCGGAATACCACGACAGTATCGTGCCTGCCGGTCAAGCATCGCTTGCGCAGCTCGTGCTGTTCGAACTGCCAACGTAGCAGTTCGATCCGTCAGTTCAGGTGGGGAGAGCTCACGAAGTCAGCTCTTGGACGTCGCTGACTGAGCTACGCAGTCTTTGGGTTCGTTGCTGGACATCGCTTTCTTGACATAATCCCTCCTTAGTCATGGATGATCGACACATCAGGGTTGTTTGGTTGTCACTGTCTCTCTTTCTCTCTCTCTCTCTCTCTCTCTCTCTCTCTCTCTCTCTCTCTCTCTCTCTCTCTCTCTCTATATATATATATATACATATGCTCAACAGACACATATCGTGAATATACATAGTATGTCACACTGTGACCAAGTGTATGCTTGATTATGCCTGTGCATGCAGATGTGTACATGTGTACACATAATATTCATACATAGATATACTCAGTTACACGCACATGTGTGTGTTTGTCAAGCTGTTGTGAGCGGCTGTATGTATCGATGTGTATTGCATGTTTCAGGTGCAAAACATATATGCACACGTACATGTGTAAGTCAATAAATAAACAAATCTGAAATACTCGGTATATACATATGTATATTGGGTATGTGGACACACCTATACATATTCTGCATCACATGACGTGACCTTCTGTGACATAACCAGACATGAACAATACAGTGCAAGACATGACAAGACATGACGAACAATACAATACTTAGTGGTGGTGCGAGACGGACAGGCAAATGTGCGCATATTCCAGAACTACGACTTTATGATTCAGGCATCAGTAGTTAGATTGTTTCGGTGCCACGACAGCGAGGCGGTCTCGCAACTGGTCCGAGCTCTTTTCAATGGTGCCTGGCATCACGTCGGAAGCATCCCGCCTGCTCGAGAACTGAGGTACCGCCATACGCCTCCGAAGACTCAGCTTTGGGCCTAATGCTGGAACGTGCGGCCTGCTCCTCAAGTGTGGCTGCACGGTCTCGATGGATCCTTGCGAAGCATCAGCTACTGCACCGCAACATGCCTGTAATTGGACCAGGCGCAACTGATTGGATGATGCTGTCGATCCGAACAGGAGCATGTCAAAGCAACAAAGGCGCCCCCAAACCGTACCATGTCGAGAAGCCCGGCCAGACTAAAAGCAAAATTGGCACCAGAGGGGCAAAGCGTTCAGAAGACATGCGGCGTCACCGGGCTGCCCCGTCGGATAAGTTGAGCACCGCACATGTCGATGGCAGTTCCACATGCTGTAGCATGCAGGATTGTCATGCCTCGAAGCTGTAAGCACAAACGCAAACCCATGCAACGGTTGCCATGCAAGACGCAAGAAGCTAAGTTCCGGATATGAATGGTCAGGTAGAAGATCCTCAGTGGCTGAACGCTTCGAGGCATTCCGAGCTTCCCTCTTGGACGGCCCATCATCACAATAAGCTGCAACTGCGGACTCGGGGTCAGGGCTTTCGTTTTGCAGAAGATGCTCCAACAGGTAGCTCCACAAAGGAGCCTTAAGTCGAACATCAAAGTCTCTACTTGTAGCTTGTCAAACCTGCATCCTAGTCCCATCTAGTCCCAAAGCCCCTAGATTATCCAAGCCCGTGCTCCCAGAATCTTGCTCCACGTGGGTGCGAGCACCACTGCCACGCTGCACGGCCAGCCCCTCTTGAGCTTTGTGCAGGAGCAGGCGGCCGGCCAAGCATGCCGAACACATGTCGAGACCCTGAACGACTCTCAGTGAAGCTACAGGTGATCTTGTTGCTCCGGCTACGGATCTCAAACTGGTTGGCTTTGGTGCAGGCCGACAACAACCAACCCGGTTTCAATGATCTCCTGGAGCCATTCCTGCGGCGGCTGGGCCAGGCCTCGCACGCGAGGGAGCACGGATCAGTTGAGAAATGTTGAGTACAATTCATGTCACAACAAAGAGCAGTCCGTGACGAAGCAAAGAGACGAGTTGCGTGCAGCAGCAAGCCCACATCTTGTAAATCTCAATTGAGCCACGCAAGGACATCGACCCATGGGTGCAGCCAACAGCGTTGTTGGAGGATCCCTTGCATGCGGGGGTTTCTCAGCTGAAGGCTTTGAGAGATGCGACCAAAGCCACCAAGCCAACAGTCTTAGCTGCGCTCATCTTCGAGCCGTTCGTCAAGGAGATTTCTGACGCAATTACGGATCAGACTTGCTGCTAATTTGTTTCATGGTGTGAAATTCGGGAAGCCTTGAACTCTATGGATGGAGGATCGGACAGCCGAATGTCCAATATGCCTTGAGACGCGCCTCAGCTGCAAAGCGGCCAATGCACCGGACCCTGCGACGGTCCCCGCCGCCCCCTTCGCCAACTCTGAACCATGTCACCGTCGCCCAAACATTTGGTGCAGACCCAAACCCGTAGCATAACATGGCGCCAAGCTTCTGCGAACAGCCACGATGCGATGGCATTTTGTTACGTAGTTACTACAGTCCTAGAGTCCTAGAGATGGCTTCGGTTGCTCCGATGACACTGCCGCCGAGGCTTTGGACCTCGACTCCCACGGCGTTTGTAAAACTCGTCGAAGGCAGCGTGCTTCAGCGTGTTCAGCGACGGATCTGAGTCCCAGAGTCTTGCTTTGAGGACAGGTATATACAGTAGCTGCAGCATCTCAACATTGATGCATCTTAAGAGCATCCCTCCAGTATTCGACGCAAGTGTTGGGAGCGCAGCCATGGCTCAGAGCTGCTTGATGAGACACATCTAAAGCATTCTGAAGCCGCAAAGCACATGCCGAGAAGGGCATCGAAGCCTGGCCAACTGCGCCTATCCGAGATTTGCAAGGAGCAATGCGACGGTTCTATCCTCGTACACTCCGGACCTTTCACGGCATCACGAGCAAAAGCTTGTCACTACAACACTACAGCTCATCCGAAGTTGTTGCCTCGAATTCAGCTTGTGGCGCGCGTGCAATGCACATGGGCTCCTGCATGTGATCATGGGACAGGCGAGCAACTGGGCTACGGAATGTTGATGTTTTCATGCAGAAGCGAAATTCATGTTGACAATGGGCCGCAGCTCGTCAGACACCTGTTGTCGTGGTGCATTTGTGCCTATTGCTTTAATTTGGCGTTCAGGGCGACTGCAGAGAGCCAGGTGAGGAAGAAACAACCCAAGACTAACGACAGGAAGCACTAGGTGAACAAGAAAAAGTGGAGATCGTGGAAGCGGTAACTAGAAACGAATGCCTGTGAAGGGATGCAAGCAGTTTGCTGCAGGCAGAAAAAGGGAATCTGCAACTACACTACAAGCACACAATCAAGTGTTGAGTAGGCGAGAATGCGCAGAACATCTGGTAACGAGAATAATTTAGGCAAGAACAGAGCGGCCGTGAGATGCCATGAAGCCTCGAGAGACGAGATGAATACAGAAGAAACAGCTGCGTCAGAAACAAGAAAGGCACAGAGCATATAAAAAGGTAAGGGCTTGTGCAACAGAGACAAAAGCAAAAAACTGTATTTCGTGCGAAAGCGAGCGCAGAGACATCATCATCAGCGCCACCGGCGCCATCTGGCAGTTACTACTAGTAAGACGAATTAACTTCGGATTGTCGACATCAAACGGTACAAAACTGTGCTACATAACAGTTGGTAGTGCTTGAAGAAAGCTTAGGTATCAGATAGGACACCGCCTAGAATACCAGAGAGCTATGAAATTGTTGCGATTGAGTAGCCTCGTTGGCACAGTCGTTTGCACCTCCCTGCAAATTCGTAAAAAGAGGCGTTGGAGCTCCAGTATGCGGCTTCCCTCCCAGTATCTGCCACTCCTGACAAAGTAAGGAGTAGCAACGAGCTTGCTGGAGCTGCTGTGCTACGAAGAAGAGAAGAAGGTAGAATCATCAACAGCAACAGAAGAACCTACAGTGGCGACGACCCTGACGCCAACACAACAATGAACAACAGCTATAGATGTGGGGTGTTCTTGACCCAGACTGCATTTGCTGGGTTGAAAAAGCGTGCCATGTACCATATACTTTACTACTGTAGTTGTTCTGTATTGAGCCGACTGTCGGTTGCATTGCGGCCCAGCTCACTGTCCAAATCGAGAACCCCTAGATGTACTGCATTTGCCATGTCGTGGCTTCCGCTGCTTCTGCTGCTTCTGTGTTCTTCCTTCCTCCGTTCGTCATCCGTTCCGGTGGAGTCTCAGTGCCTTGAAGGGGAAGGCACTGGCCTCTTGCAGCACCAAAAAGTTGCCGGAGCTTCCACCGGAGGTTCCACCCAAGCTCGGCGGCAAAAAAGAAGGCACGCAGGCAAAGCAGGCAAAGGCCGCTGCGGAGATCGAATTCGGCCTGCACTGATCAGTACGAACGATGGACCAGAGCCCTATCTCATCTATCAGCCTGATGCAAACGCTGCAAATACAGAGGTGGTGACAGAAATCTATGAACGTGAGCAGGGATTTACCAGCGTCCGTCCGGATGAAGCTGGCCTTGCCTTCGATCTTCGTTGTATGTTTCCTGTGAAATCCTTGGATGACTTGCCCGACCCCAACAATGAGTCGAACTGGCGCTGGAATGCTTCAGACTCCTTCTTTCGAGCGATAACACAGGGAGGTTTCGCTCCCTTCCTGAAACTGGGCGTTAATACGTGGACCTCCACACGGATCAGTGGCCAGGCATTCGTCAACTGGACCACGGGCAATGTGACACAAGTGATACCACCCAAGGCCTATGATGTTTGTGAACCGTGGCCCGCCCTTTCGCCAGTGATCAACGCGATTGGTCCACAGTTGGTAATGAAGATCGTGGATCGATACAATCGCCATGGAGAATTGGAGGCCTCCAAGCGAGGCTTTGCAGGGGTCGAGCTGATGAATGAATGGAACATGTTAATCTGTATGCCTTCCGGCTTCGGTGGCTGTGGTGCTGCAAACAAGCCCAGCGCTGCAGATTGGGCAGAGTGGTGCTATGGTCCTCCGTACACCTGGAGTAGCCGCTACTGGGATGGCACACCTCAGATGGCTTATAATTTCTACACAACAACTGCCAAGCTGATCAAGCAAAAGTTCCCGAGCATTCAAGTAGGAGGTCCTGCCGCTGGTACCTCAACCAGCTTTTTTGCATGTGGAGACTTAAGCCAGACCAGCATCGGCATGACGTGGATCAAGGGCTTCCTGGAAGAGGTCAAAAGAAGCCATGCTCCGCTAGATTTCTTCAGCTTTCATTTCTACGGTCAGGGGCAAGGTCAAAGCAGTGACATGGCTCCACTCCCAGAAATTTACTTTAGTTTCTTGGATGCAATCTCCGCTGTGGGAGGCTTTGGGCCCTTACCCATCGCAATCACAGAGTGGAATGCCCCTTTTTATCTTGCAAACATTAGTGCCTATGTGGGGTCGTTGGCGGGTGCTGCCGGCAACGCTGCGAAGATAGCATTTTGGGTGAAGCAGCCGAGAATACATGCAGCCTTCATCTACGATGGACTTTCCGGAGCGTTTGAACCGCGGAATCCCTACAGCTTTCCTTTGGACTGTTCAGCAAAGGTGAAGGAGCCCACTTCAAACTGCAGCGCTTGCCTTGGAAATTTGGTCCGTGGAGGGACGACGGTTCCTCCGACGGCCTTACCGGACTTTGCAGCCACATTGGTTAGCAGTGAGCCCCATTGTGGTTGTGGTCCTGAAGATCTTCAGTGGGACAGGAATGGCACATACGGAGCCACTGGCGAGTGGGATGAAAGCTGCAACTGTCCTTTAGGCTCACTTGATGGGTGCACTGGTTGCGACAACTATCAATGTCAGCTTGGGCCAACCCGGGAATCTGGCATGGGAGCTAATCATGCAGACGGCCTTCCCACTCCCACAGGCATCCTTTTCAGCATGTTTCGGACAGCCCAGGGTAGCCAGCAGCTGAAGCTTTCAGGGGTAGCCTCCTTGGAGGCCAAAGGCGTTTATCCCATAGCCTGGCAGAGAAAGAAGCGGATGGCTGAATTGATTCTTAGCAATCCTTCTAGCAATGTGATCCATGGACTGCCGGCGGTGAAGGAGTTGATACCATCAGCTATCCGGGTCTTGAAAGCAACTCGTTTGTCCCAGAGGAACGAGTCCAGCGAAGTGGGTCCCTTGGAGGGTTTCGACTCTACAGCTCCACTGGTGGGAACCATCTCAGCCGCAGCACGTTTTAAGGGCCCTGCATCCAAGAAGCTTGGATGCTTGCAACCATACCAAGTGGTGAAGCTTTGGGTATCGTTTGCAGGCTGTTGGTAGCGGTGAGAACTCAAGACAAGCATGCATGCGACGCCTTGTGAACACAATACGTGTAGCAGGCGAGTTACCAATACTGATGATCATGATTTTCTCAAGTCAAACAACGAGTTTCACGACGCAGAAGATTCAATCGGATCTTGCATAAAAGGTCTCTGAGCGCCATTGTGGATCGCTTGCACCTTTCTCTCATACATCGAGAACCCAAACCACTGTGCTAGCCACGGATAACGAAACTCAATTTAATAGGCTAAGGCCGGCGACAACAGAAGCGGCAAAAGTAACATCAACAGGGGCAGAAGCAGCAACGACAGCAGCGGCAACTCGAGGCATGTATGCATGTGCATGGCCGTATGTCTTTCTTGTGGCATGTAGTGTAGCGTGCATGTGCAAACGGACAGACCTGCAGGCATGTGTGCAACCTGCATGCAGGGTAGCATAGAAACAGAGAGCTTGTGGCTGTGTGCGTATGCAGAATATTGCTACTCCTTAAAGGAGTGAGGTGCACCTAACTGGGATCTTGGAAAAGGAATGCGAGTGCGGAATAGAGCTTCAAACCCCTTCTCATTCCTCCTCCACGGGCCGTGAGCATGGCCATCTTTTGTACCCATTTATGGAGAGAACAGTGGCAGTGTAATAAGCCGGATCGTCAGATCATCACCTAGGACCTAGCTGGCCCTACTGGTTTGTTTTGTGCAAGGGAAGCTCCCGAGCCACGACCATCGATCGACGGGTGCTGTCAGATGGCCGCGTGTACCAGGCGAGGCAAGAAGGGTTTCTATCAAGCAAAGGCGAAGGCCCGGAAGCCGAGAGTGAAGACTTCTCACCTCATTGCACCGGGTGCGAACGAGGTGAAGTGGCCAGAAAACGGAGGCTTGGGCTACATGCCCTGGCCTGGAGCTTGAACTATGAAGCAGCATGCATTCCGTGAAGCAGCCTCAGTCTGAAGAGCTTCCTCATCGGCCATTCCTCAGTACGCCACATTCAGGTATCACATTACTGGCCTCCACCAGTATGTGTGTATATATATATATATACATATGTAACCGTATGCATGTACGTACATATGTATGTAGGTAGGTAGGTATGTTTTTAGTGTGTGTGTGTGTGTATGAACGCAGGACCCACAGTCACGTCTGCTGTATGCTTGTATGAAGTATGCGTGTATATAATATATAAAATAAAAAAATATATATATATATATATATATATATACAGGTATATATATATATAGAGAGAGAAAGAGAGAGCCATCTATCTATCTATTCATCCAAAGCTTTCCCACTAGTGGGGTTTTGAAAACACTAGCGGCGTTAAAGGGGACACTGA